TAGTAGTACCTATATATATAAGACCAGGTGACCAAGAAAAGGCAATAAATTATAAAGAGTTATCATCGTTATGCACAGCGTACAAATTATATGCAGAGGTGTTGAAAAATAGACTACACAAAGAGACAGAGGAGAAAAGAATGATCCCAGAAACTCAAGGTTTCAGAAGAGGAAGGTCGATGATCGATAATATCTTCGTGATAATGCATTCGTGATAATTATATAAAGGGAAGGAAGCAAGGAGAAAATGGAAAGTTTTCATGATGTTTGCGAATCTGAAAGCTGTTTTTGACAAGGACAGAGGCAAGTTATGGGACTGCTTAAGGAAGAAAGAAATAAGTGAGAGTTTGGTTAGAAGAATTGAGAAGATCTAGGAGGAAACAGAGATAACGATTAAAACGAAGCTAGAAAATACTGAAAGTTTTATAACGAAGAGAGGCGTAATGTATGATGAGTTCATTTCTTTTCAATTTGTACATCGCGGACTTAGACGAAAAATTTAGAGGCAGAGGTATAAAAGATTGGAAGAAGGTATAGATAAACAAAGGATTTGAAATCCTGTGTGTATCCTGTGTATTGACAAAAAATATGGAAGTCTTGCAGGATGTAATAGGAAGTTTTAGAAAATTTTTAAAGGAAAAGAAATTAGAACTATGTACAGATAAAACTAAAGTATTGATATAATAGAAGAGGAAGAGAGAAAATGGAAATATGGAAATGAGGTAAAAAGGAGATAAAGAGATGCAGGAATTTAAGTATCTAGGCTTTACTTTGAATAGATGAGGCAACTGTAAAGATCACATTAAGGAATTAAATAGAAAGGATAAGCTGGCGGCAAGAAAAGTTTAGGCGAGAGGATGTGCAGGAACGATTTCAGGAGGAGATGAATCTTATTTAAATATTTAGTGCAAAGTGTTATGGCTTATAGAGTAGAACTACGGAGTTGGGAGGAGAAAAAGGAATTGGAAAAAGTTATGATGGATTATATAAGATGGATGTTTAGTTCAAATTAAGATGTGGAAACTTAGAGGAAGATAATAAATGTTGGGTAGAAGAGCATAGGAAAAAGTATATATTCTATGATAAGAGAAAAGATAATTTAAAGCACTATGTAGAGGAATATTCGGAAATAAGAGAAAGATTTACTAAATTAGGAAAAGATAAGGAAGAAATCTTAAGGAAACTGTATGAAGAGGAGTTAGATGAAGTGAAAGGGGAAATAATAAAGAAATTATGGAAGCAGATAACGAAAAGAATAAGGGAGAAGAGGAGTTAAAAGAGAGAAAGAGTTAAAAGAAGATAGGAAGGAAATGTATAGGGAAAGTATAGAGAGAAAAGGAAAGGTAAACTAAGGAGTAAGTGAAATATAAATATGTGATATATAATAATAATAGTGTAATAATAATAGATGGTGATAAGACTGTGTATAGAGATAACATATGTATTAATAATTGATATTGATAACATATGATATTGAATGAGAGTATATAACATTAAAAATAGATATACAATAACTATAAGAGAGAAAAGCGGATAAAGCGAAAAGAAATAAAATGAAACAAAGTAGATAAAGAAGCGAAGTCAAAGAGTTTAACCAGAAAAGTAAGAAAGGGATAAGCAAAAATTTTTATAATAATATTTATATGTGCGATAGTTTGCGGATGAGGTGAATGTATGAATGAATTAAGAATTTATGTAAACCAAGTCCCCTTCTTGGCTATAAATATACTGAAGTATAATAAATTCTATTCTATTTATTTCTAACAGTATAGTGAAAATCGTAACTTTTTTTTCAAAATCGCATAAAATTTTAATTTATATATATATATATATTTTTTTTAATTTTTTAGTTTTATTTAGAATTAATATATTCTATAAAAATTAAAAATATAATATTTTTTTTATTTTTTGTTTCCGGTAATAATTACAGTCGCTAGGATGTACACGAAATCGTGTCATGCGGCGAAGCGCCAAATTGAATGTTTATATTTTTATTATTTATAATTTTTTTCACATAATAATTTGTACGTACTCTATAATAATTATATTAAAACGTGCAAAAAGTCTTAAAATGATAAATATTAGTCTTTCTTTTGAAAAAAATTATGAAAAATCATTTTTTCGATCTTCTAATGTAGGAGGAATTACGGTAGAAATGGGCATTTGAGTTGGCTCGACACTTCTGTCGATTCTTAAGTAAATATCGATACTTCAAACGATATTCGAAAAGCGAATCGAGATTTACTTATATCAGAGATATATCGATATTATTGGATCGCATTCGTCTCGATATTCTTGTACTCTCTCTGTTCCGACTATTCGTATACTAGTATTACTACTTATTACTTATCATAATGGCGTTTCCCAGTAGAGATCCTTGCTTTTTGCCTTTGTGGCAAAATGGGCCGTCTCCTGGTGCATTTTATCACTTTCCGGGCACCCAGAACGGCACCGGTGGATTTCAAAAATCACAGTACGTTTTAACTATAATTCACAAACATTTGTCATCCATTTGCAGTTTTTTGTATATAACCTGTACGTCTCTATGTAAATCTCGCATGTCATCTTCTCTCTTATGGAATAAATTAAATTACGAAGTGAAATTCAAAATACTTGAGTCTTTATTAGATAAATTTCCGAAATGGCATAAGGATTTGATGAGTTCTATTCTAATTCATTCTATTATTTACAGATCTCCTATAACGACTGGTACATCTGTCATTGGTATACAATTCAAAGACGGAATTATTATATCGGCGGATATCTTAGGATCTTATGGATCTCTTGCTCGTTATAGAAATCTAGAGCGTCTTATGAAAGTTAATGATAACATCATTCTTGGTGCATCTGGAGATTATGCAGATTTTCAATGCATCAAGAGTTACGTGGAAAGAAAGATGTGAGTTGTTATAATCATTCCAATTTTTTTACACGTCTTTATTTTTAAAATATTCTGTTTTGGTTTACTACATAAGATAAATTAATATTTCTGAAAATTCTATAATGCCATTTGATAAGATGCTGAAGAACAGTGTCAATATAGTTATGATATATAGTTTTAATTTGACGCTTAGTATTTGATAGCTAATACTCTGTGTAGAGCCAGTATTATAATATTATGAAAAAAATTAGAAAATCACTTATTTCACTATTATCATGATGATGATGACTATTATTACATATATGTGTTAAAAGAAATCATTGTCTAAGATCCATGCAGATATGATGCAATAAAATTATAAATAATTAAATTTTTTCCTCTACTGTATTCATTTTCAAAACTTTATAAACATCTTTTGTATAAAAAAATAAATATGATTTAGGCTGATATTCATAATCCATTCTTATTTTAAGATTATTTTAAGAAATGTCTTAAAATGCTAATACTCTGTAGTTGGCTTAGAATGTCTTAAGACAATCTTAAATATTAGGATTGACAATGAATTTCAGCCTGGAAGTTGAATTTATTTAATTTCCAGCAATTCTATTATCAGCTTAATTTAAAATTGAACACTATACAGGGTGATTTATAAATGCATATCAATATTTCAGGGATGAACATACCAAAATAAGTAAGAAACGTCATATGTTTCTAGATTTCTACATATTTTATTTATGGATGATTAAAGAAAATGTTAAGTGACTTGTGTTTTAACTGTGACTTTACTATTGCATTGCATTGATGGATATTTTTTGTAAACATTAAATGAAGTTAAGTGCAATAAGATATGCAATAGTGTTTCTTGAGGCAGACACTTCAAACATTTTGGAAGACATATGTTTATATAATGTTTTTCAACTTATTTTAGTATAACACTTTAGATTTATCTCCCGAAATATCAAATTATAAATCATCTTGTATACATCGTTTTCATGCAGTTTTCCAATATCAATTTTGATATTGATTATATATTAGTATATTTTGAAAATGAGTATCAAATGGTTATTTAATAGTTGGCCTTTTTATCCTGATACTGGATGCACATTTTCAGAATTAAAATAGATTATATGAATGATCAAAAAAGACACACTAGAGTGAAAATGCATGAAAAGGATGTAGCGTCTCCATAGCGTTTTTTGAACCAATTTTTTTAATCAAACAATCTGATGCTGGAGGTTTTATCCAACATGCATCTTTTTGAATCTTTTGAGTATTCTTCTTAAGCATATTAGACTTTTCGACGAGACACTGTTATTTTACATCAATACTTTTGTTTTAGTCTGGAAGAACAATGCTTGGATGATGGATTTAGTTTGAAGCCGAAAGCGCTGCATTGCTGGTTGACACGTGTCATGTATAACAGACGATCAAATTTTGATCCGTTTTGGAACAATTTTGTCATTGCCGGTTTGGAAGATGGACAACCGTAAGTATCCAACACATTTCTTCAACATAAGCAACTTGTCTTCAGATTTAACATAAATCATGATTTGCCTTTCAGATTTTTGGCAACTGTAGATAAACTTGGAACAGCTTACAAAGATCCTGTTATTGCGACTGGATATGGCGCTTATATGGCAACACCTATTTTGAGAAAAGCTTATGAGGAAAATAGCCAAATGAATAAAGAAGAAGCTATTCAACTTATATACAAAGTAAATCAAGTTCTTTTCTACAGAGATGCAAGATCTTTCCCAAAGGTATCTACTAAACTATCAAAATTCGTGTATACATAATTAATAATTTTTAATTGTTAATGATTTATTTCGCTCTTTCAGTATCATTTGGGTATTGTTACGAAAGAAAAAGGAGTTGAAATACAAGGACCGGTAGACGTAGAAAGTTATTGGGGACCCGCAATTCTATAAAATTGTAATGTTTTCGTATTCTTTCAAAATAAGTTATAATAAAAAAAATATAGGGTGAAAGTATATATTCTTTTTTAATTGAATTTGAAAAGTTTAATTATACCTTACATATATAAGAAATAAGAAAATATTAATATTAATAACTATTAATATTAATAATTAATAATTTTCATTGTAATAATAAACATAAATTTTTCTTAATTTTTTATTTTGTTACATAAAAATATGGATATAATATTCACAAAATTAAAACGACACATACAAATTAATTTATACATATCTTTATATACACTAAAAATAATATATATATATATTCAATGATCCTTTGTTGTATAAATAGTAATAGATACCGATCATAAACTAAAGCGACTAAAGTGTTAGTATTTCGCATCCAGTATCTGTTATTAAAATTGTGTGTTCAACTTGAGCTGTCCTAGAATCGTCGACTGTACAAACTGTCCATCCATCTTCTAGAATTATGGTCTCTGTTCTTCCTTGACTTAAAGCTGGCTCGATAGTAAATGTCATACCTGTTTTCATTCTCGCGGGAAAATTATTTGCTACAAAAGAAAAAATAAGCATCGAAATATATAGTGACGATTTGACATATTTACAGTACATAACAATTTATTCTGAGATCAAGGAATATTTTATGTAGAAATTATTTTATAAAAACGACTCAGATAATTTCTTTGATCATCTGCATCGACATATAGTAGATGCTAATGCTGCAGAGCATTAGCATCAAATCCATCAATCTTGACAGACCTAGAAAGAGAGTTCGATTGATAGGACAACAGAAAGAAAGTTCCGTGTCCAAACATTTACCTTTCTCTTTCCAGATCCGCAAGACAAAAGATCGAAGACATTTCGCCACATGCTCCATCCAGTACATGTTGTCCAGTATATGTTGATAGTTATCTATATGTTAACGTGCATTAATGTTAGCGAAATATTTTCATTCGTACCGAAATGACAAATATCTGGAGCACCATGAAAGTAAGTTCCAATACCATGACCCAAAATTGCGGGTATTACATTCAAATTGTGTTCATTTGCTGTCTTTTCTATCACATTACCTAGAAAGAAATAGAAAGATTTTACAGTGCCAAAAATAATATACAGATAAGTTCATATTTTAATGATATACGTATTATTACCAATATTACAAAAATGTTCGTTTGGTTTGCATATTTCAATAGCTGACTTTAAGCATAATTCTGTGACTGTTATTAATTGTTTGCCTTTTGAGTCTACTTCACCCACTTGAAACATAGCTGAACAATCGCCATGATAACCATTAAGATATACCTACTTAAACAAAAAATATTAATTTTTTAAAGAACTTATAACATTTTATCGACTAGAAAAAAGATTTCATTTTCTTTTAAAAAATAAAGCTTACTGTTATATCAACATTGAGTATATCACCTTCTTGTAAAGGCCTATTGTCTGGAATACCATGGCAAGCGATGTTATTAACACTTGTACATATAGATTTGGGAAAGCCATGGTAGTTGAGTGGACTGGGATAAGCTCCATTACCAATGATCATATCATGTACTTGTTTGTCGAGAAAATCAGTTGTAATACCTGGCTAGCATATATTAATTTTATTTTATATTTAGTTTATTATAATATTTAATGCATATATAGATATGCATTAAATATTATAATAAATACATGTATCTGAAAGCTATTAATAATTCCTGGGGATACATTCCAAAAACCAAAAAGAAAAAAAAATATATATATATAAGAGTTACTCTTAAAATATTATTTCTTAATTATATGTTGATTTTCAACATATATATAACAATCCTTACACAGATTTTAATTGCTTAGTGAACAATAAATTTATATGGATAATATAGATAACTCTTCTTATTCGGTTTATGAAACTTGCGATCCCAAAGGCTTGTGCATATCTTTCAGATATTATCAGTATAGAATTCCAGATTCGCCACATTCATCTTCTAAAAATTTGTTTGTGATTTTAAATTGATAAGCGAGGCAACATGAATCTGGACTTTTATATAATCTGTAGGAAGTAATTCACCTCAATTAATGCACCAGCTTGACGCAAAATACTACTAGCAAGTTTACAACTGTGCCTCATACATTCTATTTGATATTCGTCTTTGATCTCGGGCATTGCTGGCCCTTTTTTGGGTATCATAGACTGACTGTAGGATGGCTGGGGTATGTATGTAGGTATAGTATTTTTTTCAGAAACTACCCAAGGCTGGACTATAGCATATTTTCCAAAAGAATTATCGGATTCATTACGGATATCAACAAATCTACGATTTTCTTCAAACTAGAATAAATAACATATTTTTAAAATAATTCAATGTTTCTCTCGATAGATATATTAGATTTCACACATAATGAGCATGTTGTATCATTTTATTCTTGTTCACCGAATATTAAAGAAGGATAAAATAATATATTATAGGTATCATGTGTGAAATGGAATGCATTCAATAGCTGTATTCCAAAATTTACTGCCAATCCTTAAAATCTATAGTGCATTTAACATAAACTATAGATTTTTAGTATCGGTAGTAAATTTTAGAACACAACCAATATCTCTTACAACAGTGTTGTTTAAAATTTGTAATTCTAGGTATTATTTTGTATCAATATTTATGCTTATTGTCTTTTCTTTTTTATCGTTAGCAAGAATTATAAATCTACAAATGTTGAACAATATTGTCTTATATTATCTGATTAAAGTAATTATTAGTCTGACCTAATAAATATATTTTTTTAAATTTATAGATAAAAACAGATATACCTTTGACATGATAGGTTTGAGAAAGTTCAAAAAGTATGTTTTAGAGGATTGTATCATTTGAACAATACCCTTGGTTGAGCGCATGTTCTGCGATATTTATTTTGGATAATTCTTATATATCTCCTGAGTAATTTCTCGACCTCTCTTATAAAAGTTTCAAAGTGCCAAATTGTTATCGATCCATAAATCGAACTAGTCTCCTCGGGGAACAGAGTTGCTTTTCCAATGGAAATTAGTTTATTTTCTCTTGGCTATACTATCGCTCACCAGTGCAACAAACAGTATAATGTATTTCTTTGGCTGATCAGAGGCTATCAGAGAGAAACCTTAAATGGCATTCTATGGCTGTGATCAAAGTTTCGCTACAAATGCTTTGAAGCATTTGATGGACTAATTAGAAGAAAGAATTTTACAAACTAACCAATTAAAAAACGCTTCAAAACGTTTGCAGCATCTCGTTGATGATGACCGTACCCTTATATCATAGATTCCCAACGTGATCGTTATCTCTTAACGACCCCCTAGATCTCAGCGCCAACCGGGAGGATGATAACACTAGCCTAGTTTCCATCGAGAGTTTAAATCGGATCAGAATGTAAAAACCAGCTAACTACAATCGAGCATTCCCCTGCCATACGATTGTAATAGAGGAATACTCGACTGTAGTTGGTCTAACTCAAACATTCCAGCATTATGGCAGGATTATGGTAAAAAATTTTTTATTGCATTTCTCTCATTCTAATTAGTGAATTTACTTTACACCAAAGTTATAACATTGATGTTATGAAACTGGCCAATCACAGTCATTCTATTCTTTAAAGGAATAGCTATGATTGGCCAGTTTCATAATATTGATGTTATAACTTCGGCGTAAAGCGTGCCAGTGTGTAAGGATATATCCACACAAACTTACATGACCGTATAAACATATGCATAAAGAAAATTATCCAATCATATTCTATATGTGTCTTCATATGAGAAATGCAATTGGATAATTTTTTTTACAGTTAAGTGAACGTTATTGATGTATTCTTCCAGATTTAAAATGCTGATTGGATAATCTAAAAGGATACACCAATAAGCGAGCGCTCACTGAACTGTTGAGTCCGCTGAACATAGTCAATGATCCATGTGACACATCGTGTCACTTGTGTCGCTTGTTGGAAGGCACACAGTGTCATCCAGTATGCAGTAACTTTAGTGAGCGGTTGCATCTGATTGGCATGTTCCGTTAAATCTAAAAATATAGATCAACCAAATACATGAGCTCAGTGAGCAATTGTCGTACTGAATGTATTTAGTAAGTACATGAAATGAAAGTGAGGTTACGTTAAGTTCGTGTTCATGTCGTACTGTGAATTAAAATTACGATCAAGTTTTAAAAAATGCAACAAATACTGTGAATAATAACGAGCTTCTTTTACACACACATTCATTTTATAAGTTTGATCACGTGGTCGCGGAGGAATCGAACGAGTGCATATGGATCTCAGCATATGCATGTGTACACAAACGCGAAAAATACTATCTGTCATTATTCATTGATAAAAAATATATTAATCAATGCGTTGTTTTGTCTATCGAATAAGTCTAGTAGAAAAAAATGTTGTTCGACTATATTAAACTAATTATTAAATTATTAAATATTTAAGATAATATGCGTGTGAAGTTAAAAAATCCATCATATTGAGAAATAAAACTCCTCCCTTCTGCTTGTTATATTATTATATTATATAACTTCTAATTGAGAAGAAAAATCACTGAGAAATTAAATGTCAAACTGCACTTGTGATTAAAGAAAAAAAGAAAAGTTTATTATCTCTCAACATATAATATGGCTTTATTTTTGATACATGATATATGTTTTATTTTACTAAGGTTTAATCTCTTTGGTATCTATTTTTAGTATAGATGTTGTAGACTCATTTAGTAAGGAAAAAATTTCATATATAAAATGCATGCCTATATGTTATAGAGTATGCATTTATTTAATATATTTATTAATACATAATAATTTAACGAATATTCATGGGTTTCAAGACTATTTTATAAGTAAATATTTCTGCAAAGTTATGTATTGGTTTCTAAAAACAAATATTCCAAGTTAATGCAAAATAATATTTTTTAATTTTATGTATAATTTTATGTTAT